ATACTTCCCTCCATTCTGGCCTACATTCATCATTTTCTTTAAGATGTAGAATTTGCCCGATGTCCTGGTCTGCTTCTTGATCTGCTCTCATTTGTTTGGTAGTCCATTTGTCATCAACGATCAGACCCGTTCTTCTCACAGCCGGACCAGTGCTTTTCTCATGCATATCGATTCTTCGACGAAGCTTACAGTCTTCTTTGCATAGTCGTCTAGACAGAGCGTCAGGATTTTTATCAACGTTTCCTAGTCGACGTTTAGGGCCGGCGTCTCTAGATCTCCAAAAGTGTTGGGAACGATCCGTAGATGGAGAGGACATCCTTAGTCTATAATCCCATTGCATATGTCCAAGCTTATGGCACCGGTAACCTTTTACTCGGTTTCTTGGTGTTTGTTTGGAGTCATTTCCCAGTTGTCTATCTTCTAGTAGTAGTAATAGTTTCTTCATTTTCTCCATGAACTTAATCATAACATTCCGAAACCATCCTCTTTTGACGATTGTTTATCCTTTGGGTCTTCAATGGACACTGCTCGTATTCTGGGTCGTGAGGCACCAAAGATTGCTTCCACTTCCAATGCTCGGACAAGGGCTTTGCTACTTTGTCTGAACTTAGACATTCTCAGGTTTTCCTGTATCTTGGAATCTCTGAGATCATCAATAAACGCACATACTGCCATTTATTCCTGCATGTCTTCCACAGCTGCAGGAAACGCCAAACTCACTAGCCTTTTAACTTCTGATTCGAATTCTTGTAAACTCTCGCCGGATTTTTGAATTCCTGATTTAACTTAAGTTCTAAATACTTATTGTCTGTAATGATCTCCGAAGCGCAATTCTAACGTCTGACTTAGATGCTGGTAATTCTGTTGGTAGAATGAAGGAATGGATTGAAGAAGATCTAAGGCAGGTACTCGTAGCGCCACTATCAGTGCTGCAGCTTTTTCTTGATCGTTTCATCCGTTGGTATTTGCAGCAGCTTCAAATTGTCAGATAAACATGGTACAGGACGTAGAGCCGTGAAAAGTTGGTGGTTTTGTCTTCATACTAGAGAATGCCCTAACACTAACTCGATTGATGGACTGTATTTCTAATTTATTCGCCTTTTCTTCAAGTGCTTGAACTTGGTCGTCAACTTCTTGTCTTAATCGTTGAACATCGTTTTTAACTTCTTGAACATCGTCTTTAACTTCTCGAACATCGTCTTCAATTTTGGCTTTTACTTCCGCAATCTTTTGTTCTAGGTTAGCGACAAATCCATGTATGGTTTGGAATATTTTCTGTAGTTGTCCAAGGTCTTCTTGCCGGTCTTTTTGTCGCCTGGCTTCTTCGTCCTATTTTTCTTGTTGTCGTTTAGCTTCTTCTTCTTGTTTCTCTTTTTGTCGTCTAGCCTCTTCGTCTTGTTTTTCTTGTTGTCGTTTAGCCTCTTCTTGTTGTCGTCTAGCTTCTTCTTCTTGTTTTTCTTTTTGTCGCTTAGCCTCTTCGTCTTGTTTTTCTTGTTGTCGTTTGGTTTCTTGTAGTTCAAACATTTTGCGCAGAAGTTTTCAACTTTTTGTTCTTCCATTTTCGCTTGTTGTCTCGTAATAGGCATATACAGAATGTTCTAGAATTTCCCTCCAACTTTCTTCAAATATCTTTCCTGGTCTTTGCTTGAAGTTCCAAAGCCGGTGAAGTCACAAAATTGGATAACTTGCTTTATTCTCCAATGTCTTTTCTGAATGTCGATTAATATAGCAAACACGTCGGTGAAGTCACAAATTAAATATCTCCCTTGGTTTCCAAATAGAATTTTCCCGAAATTCCACGAAATTCATTTTCTGAATGACGATTGATGTATCGAATACGTTGGCGAAGTCGTAAATTCGATATCTCTCTTGGTTTCCAAGTAGAATTTTCTAGAAATTACTTGAAAATTCACTATGACAGTCAAAATCGGGTATACAGTCACTTCCGGGTAATTTACACAATCGGTTAAGTATCTTTTGTCACTGTCCCAGTGTTCACTATAGTGTCCACACTAGTGTCCGTGCACTATTATGCAATCGGATTTCACTTTGCAGTCTTCGAATTATATCTCACTTCCGACACCAATGTCACGACTCTGGGTTGCGTGACAGAAAGCTTGGGTTCGTTTATTCCAAAATCAAAGTCCAATTAACACAATAATTTATTCCACGCTACTACACACTCTGACACTAATTTCTTCACTAATTAACTCAAACAACTTAACTCTTCACAACTCTTACAAAATTCACTATCTAAATCCTATCACAGTCAATCTTAAACTTAAAACTATTAACTAATACAGTCCTTTATATATTCGCAATCTATTCGTGTAGAATCCAGAATAAACGCGATAATCTTTTTGTCCAGTATTTTCTAGATTTCAATTTAGATTCTGTATTGTATGGCGAAGGCGCCACAATATGTTGTGTTGATAAATAATGAAACTGATATAGTATTAAACATAAAGGAAAAAAATGAGAGTCTGAGAAGAGAAGAAAATGGAAACCAGATAGAGGCAGAGTAAGCACAGAAATACTAGATATAAACCCAGGTGAAACCTTAAAAATTTTAAAAATAGATGTTCAAATTGTCTTGGAATGTATCACAGAGTTCGATTTAAGAAGAAAAACCACGACGGAACAGCCCATAATATTTCGACCATACAGAGAGAGTTCAAGAAATGAAAGAGGAAGAACTTAAAAAACCAGGACTTATTATAGATTCAAACTCACCATAATATGAAAGTCCTACTAAACTTATTGTGAGGAATAAAACTGAATTGTGTATAAGTTTCAGGCGTCTTAGCAAGAAAATTGAAAAAACGCTGACCTAGTTTGAGGAATGCCTATTATATTGGTTGATAGCGGTATAAGCAAAACAAAAACGTATGGAATGTTCATATGACCTGAACAAAGGATACAAATATCAAATAGAGTTTGAGAAATGGGAAGCGAAACATGTTTTTTCAAACCTTGAACAAAATTCAGTGATAGTTATGGGCAATGCTTCATACCATTCCCGACTAGAACCACCATGATTCTAAACACCAGGAGCTAAAACGCGAAAACAATTAAATTTATGGAAAGCCATGACAAAAATACAAAAAAAAAAATATTCCAAATAATTAAGCGCAAAATTTCAAAAAGAATATGTAATCGAGTTTTTACCACCATTTTAGCCCCTAAATACTGTTAAGTTTTCAATTTCACGATCATTTGCTGCTGTTGAAAAAAACTTGCGAAAACATGATCAATCACCGAAATCAAGCGGGTCGGTGTTGCAAACTATGTCAATAGAGAAAAAAAAGGAATACTGTGTTTAACCGCCAAACAACCCGAATGACAAAACATCAAATACTGAAAACTCTGATAGTGAGCGTCAATTTTCATTCTCAACAATATATTGCCGCCAGCCAGGCCTATATTATATTGGTATATGTATTGTTGAAATACCTCAATATATCTAAAAAAGTTAGGATACCCTGGCGAAACTACAGCAAGCCAATTTTAAAAATAATCCCTCAAAAGCAGAATTTGTATATTAAATTAATGTTACTAATAAAGCAAATTTCGAAAACAATCGAATCTCGAACTCTCGAAAAGAGAGACATTGTCATTAAAGCTCGCTAAAATTTGATTCGGGAAAAAAGCTCAAGTATCAAACGAAAAAATATATCCGGTAGAATTGCAAATCAAATGAAAACTGCGAAAGCAGCTTTAAATTCAACCCAATTATTAGCACTAAAACTTTTTCCATGTATTTTCACCCTTTTATCCTTATCATAACTCTATCACGCCAGAGATTTATTGTAAAAGTTACACCAAAACTAGACAACACAATACATAATATTCTTTTCACCAAACAACTACTCCCCGGGTGTTGTAACATCCAGCCCCCATACAACGAAACGGTTTTAATGTAATTTATCACAAAACAAGACAGACCAAATATAGAAATAGCAATTAAGCTTGCGCTCGCTATCAGGAGGCGTTGATAAATGATTGAACGTACAGAAAACGTTTCTTACACGTTACATGTGTGACGTTCCGTATTGTTCACGTAACAAATGAACAAACACGATTCGAGAACAGAAGTATCGAGTACACAGTTGGAATGAAATAAATTAGTTTGGGGCTAATGCATGGAAGAATAGAATATATCTCGGCACAACCGACGATATAAAACGTGCCAGAAGTTCCGCAATTTAATAATTTTAAACGTCAAACTTTTGCAAGTTTAACGATCATAGAAGTTTTAAGTGCAAAATTATCTATAAAAATTCATCAATCCATAAAATTCTCGCAAGATCTCATTAAAGAAACCTGAAGAATGACTTTCAACGGAAATATGCATTTATTTCACATAAAGTTTAGGAAAGTTGGCTTCTTTACACCCTAATAATAATTTATCCAAAAGTAATACCTATAATACACGTAATATAAAACATGATTAAATAAATACACACAATTAATTTTCTTGTACTGTACACATAGCAAATACAAAAGACAATATACAATTTTATTTTCAACAAATATTACACCTTCAATTTGTATAACTGTGGTAAAAAGGTTTGAATTATCTTATTCTTAAGGAAGTAATTTCTTGGAACATTTACTTTTAATGTCACGAGATAATTCTTTGCAAGCAGTACCACAGTTAAATAAAAACAAAGCCATAGAATTCGTGCAAATTTACTTTTTTGTTTTTATTTTACTCGAAGGTAAGTTTCCCACACCGAAAGCCATATTTACACGTGCGAAATCACAAATTACGTGAACCAGACACATCAAAAAATGCCGTGTACGTGTGCATTTTGTTTAGGAAACTTTATCCAATTCAAAATCAAGTAATTGAGTTAACTTTAAAAAAAAAACCTCTAGAGTCAATCTCATTGAAAATTTAAACACTTTCTCGATAGCTAATATACGAGAAAAAATCATGCTTGCTTTTTGAAAATCTGATAAAAGTTTCCCTCTCAAAAACTGGTAGTTCGTTGTACCTGTAGCAAACGGCCATAAGGGCAAAACACACAAAGACCAGCATGACCACGAGCACCAGAACTCCGACCATGATGATAGTGCTCAAGCCGTTCGTGTGATTTTCCCCTGAAATTTTAGCCAATGGCTTGTTGATTATTAAGGTTTGTGCCTCCGAACTGAGAGCTTCAAATTTAAGTTAAATTTCTCTAAATTAAAAGCCAATTGGAAATTTCAAAGTGATGCCAAATTAGAAATTTTGTCCACAGTTTTGGTTTTTTCAAACAATAGTATCGCTAGGACGTTCTAACACAGTTAAATAGAAAAAAATACCTAATTCTTATATCTGCTCTTTCCGGTTCAATTCACAGCTAAGGGAGCCTGGCAGCTCACTGATAGTCAGTATAGGGAAGAAAGCAAAATTTGTTAATCTCAACTAAGAGTGGCTAATTCTGAAAGTAGTTACAGCCGACCCCAACGGCAAGACCGATAAACACGCCCATTATAATGGATCATATTCAGATAAACACCAGGTTACTGAACTACCCTATTGGGATTTATCCAGATTTTTTTTTTTTTCATAATAATCTGTAACTTGTGGTAATTCGATTGGAAATACAATAAGGAAAACTAGCTTCGAAAATTCATTTATTTCAGTTATCATTGCCAGTCATAACTTCATGGATTATGTATATTTTCAGACAGGTTCGCGTATCAAATTGATTACCTAGAAATTCCCATTTATTTATATTAGTCACTGTAAATAAAGATTTAGAACCTAATTTTATTCAGTTCGGTGGCCAAAAACCCTCAAACAAAATTCAGTAAAATTTATTTGCTTTTCGTTCCAATTGGCTATTTAAATTTGTGCTCTGTGTACGTACTAATTAATTATTTGCACATATCAGTTTATAACTAACCAATAAGGAAAATAATTTGTTAATATTTATGCTACCAAAACTAACTTATTTATTTAATTATCACGTTTTTGTGGGTAAAAAAATATTTTTTTAAACTTTTTATTTATTTTTTCAGCAAATTCCGAGAGTTTTTGAAAATGTATTGTATTTTTTTTTTCAAGGAATGGAAGTTTTTCTAGTTAAATTTTTATAGTTAGTTTTGATAACAAAACTTGATGATAGTTTATCAGTAGCGCCCGCTGAGAATTATTATCATTAGATAATTTATTCTTCTTCATTGATTGATAAGGATAGATTGCCTGTTTTGAACAAAAATTCAATGAAAATATGATAAATTACGATTTCAGATGCATTTAAAATCAAAATTAAGTTATTTTTGTGGTTTTAATAAGAACTCCAATAGGTAAAAAAAAGAAAACCTATCCTTAAAATATTTCCAATAATTATGGAAAGACTGATATTATATTTTTGGATACAAATTTTTTTGGGGCTAGTTGAAATTTGAGATATTTTTAGGTAATCTAAAATATTTATTACAAATTTCAACTGCTACTTTTATTTTATTTTCCAAATTTGGATAATAAAAAGTGGCAGTTTTTCCGAAGCATAAATTTGCAGCAAATAATAAAATATACGTACCGTAGGGGGTTTCTTTCTTCTTCATGTGCTCTTGCAGATTGGTGGAGGAAATATCTGCAGGAGGAGTCGGAAGTGGAGGGGCAGGCGTCATCTCTTCGATAATTGAGCAATCGGATCCCTTGTAGCCCATTTCGCAGTAGCATTTGTTTTCGTTGGTACAATGCTAGAAGAAATGAATGAAGTATGCAAATTGAGCTATTTTAACAAAATCTTACTCCGTGGCCGGAACATTCCTGTGATGGATCGTTTGTAGGGCACTTTTCTTGAATAACATGAGGAAACATCGTAACGCATGTCTGATTCATACATATAAGATTATCGCCGCATGGGGTTCCATCGCGTACCAAACCGTATGGCGGTAAAGTATCGCCCTCTTCTATTGTTTCTCTTAATATTGACCTAAGCAGATAATTTTTTTCAGCAAAGAAGTAACGTTAAAAAAATCTCACATACTTGCACTCAAATTCCTGATTCTTAAAATTAGTTATAGTTCTATAAAATTGCTGGTCAGGTCTTTCTATTGCAGGATATCGTGCACCGAGTTGACACTGCAGTGAACCGCAGCGAACATTTTCTGGATTACACTTTAAATAGTTACCGTTGCCGTCAATACCACAATGTCCGTGTATTGATCCTTTTGAATTAAATATATTAAAGCATTCTTGAGCTGCACCAATACTCCCTGTAACATTATATTTTGAGCGCAACTATTAAATAACAAGAAAAAAAAATATTACCATATCCCCAAATATAATCACACTGCGAGGTAAACGTTGGACAGAATCCATTAAAGCATTTTCCTCGGTCTTTTTCGTTACCGCATGGACTACCATTTCTCTTATGTATATCTACAGGACATTCACCCGTCTCTCCTGTACACTGTTCTGGAAGATCACATTCATTCGTTGCTTCTCGACAAACTACTCCTGATTCCTGTAGAGAAGAAATTACATTTGACTGTTACCTTCTTTCTCAGTCCTTCAAAATTATCAAAATAACCGTTGCTCCACCAGATATAGAATTATAATTTAACCAACCAGATAACAAAGTATTGCGTTTGATGTGAGCAGGACCAAATATCCCGCAAAAGCCGCCAGCCACCATCAGTGCGCTAAAATGGTTGAAATGGCGGAGCGCTCTGTGTAAATTTGGCACAAAGAGAAATTCTAAAATTACGCCATCCCGCGCGTTATGGCTCGAGTTCAAATTAACAATGTTTGCAATATTTAATATGCTTAAATGCAATTTTATGTGTTGCCATAGTTTCATCAGGCTAATGCATCCACGCTATATAAAAGCTTTGAATTTTTTAAATATCGCGATGTAAGTAACTCAATTACATCTTCGTTGTTGTAATGCACAATTGCCTGTATTAGGATGAACTAGAGAAATAATATCAAGGGATCAAAAACTAAATACCTCTGGATAATTATGAAATGGAAAAAGTATTTCTCACTTTTACCTTGATAATTAACTTTTTGTTCAATATAAATATTTACCATCAACTTAAAAATTAACGTCTTATGCAGTTTCCCAAATAACTCATAGGGTCCGAAGCCGCTGAAGTTACCAGGGCGGTTAAATTAGGAAAAAGTAGCTATTTTTGGAGCCCATTAAAGCTATATTCTTGTTGTAGCCCAATTTTTCTGCCGGAAATACAGGGAATTTATAAAAATCAACGATTCTAATTTTGTTAAATATTTCCAAATCTATTGATTCAAGAGACATAGGTAGTTTGAATAAAAAAGAAATGGAAGAAAAGAGGAAGCCACATGCTATCAAAGATCTTTCTTATCCTGGAATCTCCTTCAAACCTGTTGCTCTGAGTTGTGTTTTTGCTTATGTTGCACTGACAAGAGCTAACAGGCTCGAAACCGATCTGCAATTAACACCAAGTACCCAATGATATTATATGATAAACAACCTATTTATGAGAATAATCACCAACCGCCTGGAAAGGAAATTAGATGATTACCAACCTAAAGAACAAACAGGCTATAGAGAGAGCTATGACATTACAGAACATCTTCACAGAATAAGAATACTAAATGAAAAGACGACCGAATATAACATTACAACATGGCAAGCATTTATCGATTTAACGAAAGCCTTCGAATTCTGGGCGATAGGAAGGGCCATGAGAAATGCACGAATAGATCAGCAATATATAAACATAATCAAAAATATTCAAGAAGCAACAAAAATAAAATAAAGAATGCATGAAGATACAAACGGAGTAAGGATCAAAAGAGGCGTAAGACTCACCCTAGTCCTCGATGGAATTACATTGGGATTGGGAAGATCGGATTAGAAAACGTATCAAAAACTGAGTTTAAGATAAATAAGCAAACAGATTGGGACAGAATATCCATAGAAAACCAAAAGGTGAAAAAAGTAAAATCCTACAAGTATCTAGGACAGGAAATAACGACACTTGGCAAAGTCAATCAAGTGCTTGAAATTAATAGTGTAACGGGTATCGAAGGGAACTGCAACACTATGCACTACACATTGTTTTTTAATGTTTTTATTCAACAATTCAACGGGAAAAATACAAAGTCGGCAAAAAATAGCAAAATTACTGATAATGAACTTGATCGGGGAAACTGACTGACTGATTGCCTACATTCAGGCCCTGCCAGCGGTTGAACTCAGCCACTCAGCAGGCTGAGTGGCTGAACCAATAAACTATAGCCAAAAACTGGAATGACGGATGCCACAAGGGGAAATGTTGTTCTTTTCTGTTGCTCGTTGATATATGACGTTTTGGAAAGTTTTGTTATATTTACCTACACAGGTTTTATCAATTGGAATACGTGTTGAAAGCAATTTCCGCCATTTAACGTAATGAGTGCGAAAAAAACAGGCATCCCCTCCACAGCAGCGGCACTAGGCCTCATGTTCGTCAATATGTGTGCGCATTCCAGTTTTTGGTTATAGTTCATTGGGCTGAACTTAGCCGCTGGCACCGTCTGAATGTACCCATTGATTGATCGATTGATGACACTTGTCAGACATGGCTATGACTACGGCAACGGTAGTGGCTATGCTATGGCGTCGCAAGTGTAGACGTTACATTCTCCCCCTTTGGAACTTGCAGCGTCTCGCCAAAGTTCCAGCAAAATTAAACATCGTCAAAAAACTTTTTGGGTCGTCGAACCCTTGAAGTCCTTCTACCAGGTGGACGACCTCTATGTCGAATAGGCCTAACAGGAACTAGATCTTCGTCATCTATGTACTTGCTGAGAGCTGATGAATGGTATGTACCGACCGGTACTGTTGGTTATTAGACACTTTAAGCAGGTCCTGAATTTCAAACGTATCCGTATCCGCATCGATCTGCGCATGTGCAGAATAGATACGGTGGTTTCGTTGCGTTGTCCGTATCGTTACGGCCTTGCCTCGTATCCGTATTCGAAAACGTATCTCAATCACTCGACACTGTTGAGAGATCTTTCTGTCAGTTGTTACTAAAATAACTTTAACAACATAAACACAGTATCTACTTATGGATGGAAAGAAAATCTACAAACACAGCTACAAAATCAATTCAACACTTTTTGAAGTTAGAAAACGTTAACGGTTTCATTCAAGGATACGATCGTTTACGTAATGTATGGCCATGCTTAAGATGACTTTAGGCGGTCAACGTAAGTCGATGCGTTTACGGATGCGGATACGGATACGTAGAAAAATTTAAGGGTTTGCTTAAAGTGTCTATTGGGTGAGGCAATCTGATTAGAGGTTGCCGATATTATTTTCAGGATAATATAGGGGCCATCTCTTCTAGGGGCGAACTTGGATGTGTAAGACTGCGATTCTTTGCTCAACACATGCGAGTTGACCAAAACATTTTCTCCTATAATGAATGGTTCATTACGTCGATGTTTGTCAGCATACATCTTGGACGCATCCTTTCTCAGTTCATTTGTCTCTCTAAGGTTGGACAGGGCATGAGCAACAATCTTTAATTTTGGGGTGATCTTAGGAATGAAGTTCTCGTTACTAACGATAGCTCGGAGATCACGTTCGACATCATGCGGGGTTCTTAGTTCTGGACAAAACATAAATAGGCAGGGCTGTAACCAGTAGATAGGTTGTTGGCAGAGTCCATTGCAAATCTCACAGAAGGCAAGGCTTCTTTCCATTTCGTATGATCCCTTTCCACAAGTATTGCTAACTGGGTCTTCAGATCTCTATTTCTTCTCTCTTTAGGATTGGAAGCTGGGTGATACAACGGTATAAGATTTTGGGTAAAACCGAGACAGTGAGCAACTTGTTGCATGACACCTGTGACAAACCATTGTCACTGATGACCTTTCTGGGTGCTCCATATCTGAGAATAACTTCATCGATAAGGCATTTCGCACAAGCTTCAGCTGTAGCATTTTCCAGTGCAAATAACTCTATCCATTTGGTGGCAGTATCTTCTATAGCGAAAACCCACCTTTCACCTGTTTCTGCTTTAGGCCGGGGTACAAATAAATCCATACCTAAGGTTTCAAATCGCTGAGCCAGAACAGGAGTCTGAGTCAAACCAGAAAGCTTAAGATTCGTTGGTTTGTATCTCTGACATTCTATGCCTTTTTGGACGTGTTGAGTAATGTCTTTTCTCATCGTCGGCCAGTAAAACCTTTGTGAGATTCGTTTCAAAGTTTTGTCGACGCCGTAGTGTCCTGCAAGTGGAATATCATGAAACTCATGAAGTATAGACCCTACTCGACCTTGAAGAACAACTAATTGTGCTTCGTCAGAATCGGAGTCACTGGCGTAATGGTGTAAAATCCCCTGAACCATAAGGTAGCCTCGATTGGTTCATCTGGCAAAGTCGCAGTATCAGAATTAGCATTCTCGAAACAGTCGATAATACTCCTAGTGTATGGATCATCTAACTGCTGGGTTCTGATCTCTGCAGCGGATTTATTAGGTAGCAAAATAGTAACTGTGTCGACAGGTATCAGTGACTGGTCATTGTTATCCGAGTCAATGGGTGGTCTTGATAATGTATCTGAGACGACATTCGTATGTCCTGATATGTACTCAATCTTGAGGTCGAAAGCTTGCAGTTGAAGTGTCCACCGGGCCAATCTACCAGTTGGTGATTTTAATGTGATAAGCTATCGGAGAGGTTGATGATCAGTTTTAACATAAACTGGTAAACCTTCTATGTATCCGCGAAACTTGTTGACTGGGTAGACAAGTGCAAGGGCTTCTCGATCAGTACAGCTTTAGTTCTTTTCGGCCGAAGTAAGTGAACGACTAGCGTACTCTACTGGTCTTTCGTCTGGTCCCTCCCCCTGGAGCAAACATGCACCAATAGCACAGGCACTGGCATCAGTCTTAATAATGTATGGCATGGAAGCATCGGCTTGACGCAGAATAGGCGCTGTAGTCAGGAGAACTTCGAGTTTCTCGAACGATTCTTGTTGTGCCGATTTCCACGACCACGAAACATTCTTCCTTGTCAAGTTATTCAGCGGTCTGGAGACAGTGGCAAAGTTTGGAATGAATCTACGGTGTTTCACGTTCTTGTGTGCGGCAAGATGGGTGATAGCGGCAACCTTTTCCGGATCGGCTTTGATACCATCTCGTCCATTAAGATGACCAACATATTTAACTTCTGAAGTACAGAAAGTACATTTCTTCTTGTTCACTTTCAACTTGTGAATGCGTAGACGGTTGAAAACATCAGTCAAGTCTTTGATGTGTTGTTCAAAAGTCGTGGATAAAATTATTAAGTCATCAAGCTATCCTAACATTTGGATATGCGGAAAACCTGAACAAAAACAGTTTATTAGCTTTTGAAACGTTGCTGGGGTCGTGGATAGACAAAAAGGCATCGTCTTATATGGACTAAGTCCAAATGGCGTGACAAAGGCGGTTTTATCACGATCTTCTTCTTTGACAGGTACTTGATGATAACCACTCTTCAGGTCTAAGGTGGGTGGTTATGTAGTTAGCTTTTCCAGTTGAATGGATAAGGTCATCTATACGAGGCAGCGGGTAACGCTCATTCTTGGTGACAGCATTCAGTTGGCGATAATCAACACAAAGACGTGAAGTTCCGTCTTTCTTCGGTACAAGGACGACTGGAAATGCGTATGGCGATTCGCTCTCTTCAATGATATCGCTGGCAAAAAGTTTGTCAAGCTCCTGATGCAAAACTTCTTTCTTCGCAGGAGATAAGCGATATGGTGGTGCAGCTATGGGAATATCATCAGTGAGGATGATGGTATGCTCAGAATATGAGATAACTCCTTTATTTTCATCGAACAAATCCTTGTTATGTTCCAACAGCGATTTCAGTGTCCCTTCTTCAATATTGGAAAGAGTCGGCAACGATATATCATTCCCGTTAGCTACAACAGACAGAACTGCGTTGGAATCAATAACTTCATCCTGTAATGACAAGAAATTACTTGGATCGTCATTGAAATTGTATATCTTCTTCGGTTTATTGAGGACTATATCGGATTGTGATATGAAATCAACACCAAGTAAAGTCTTACTGTCTTTGTAGTCTGGAACAGCAATCATTTGCAGTTTTCGTTGTTTATTCATAACTTCAATGGAACACAGGTACATCTTTGCTTCAACTTCTCGGGGTATACCATCAGCAAATACCAGTTTTATTGGAGCAGTCTTGAATGGATGCCGAATAGCATCTAAGTGATTTAACAACTTCGCACCTGCAATACTACATCTTGCTCTGGAATCCACAAAAGCAAAACCTGATCGACTTTGAATGATGACAGGTATCATGGGTCTTAAAGGCGGATCATCAAACGTTAAAAACATATTGGAAGGTTCATCGAGATCAGCAGCGAGCATTTCGAGAGATGAAATGGTTGTTGGTGCAGGTTTACATTGAGGACAATTGGAACGTATATATCCTGGATTACCGCAACCATGACATGTTACATTTGTGGAGGACGGGTTACTGGTTTGAAGTGTTAGGGCAGAAGTAGCGGACGAGGCTTTCTCAGCAGACTTGGCTTTAAATTTTCTGCAAGCAGTTTGAACATGTCCATATGCTTTGCAAAATGCACACCGGTCCTTCAGTTTTTCTGCAACGGACGTGGAAGTCACTTTCACGTTGGATTCAGCAAGGCTGGATTCGATTGCTCTGCATTTGTCAATCATCTCCGGAAAGTTCTGAAAACTATGTCGAGGAAGTTTTTCCTGATTCTATGGTGAAGGAGCCCATGAACCATTTCTAACTTGTGCTCCTCTGGCAAGGGCGTGATTGTTATCAACTTTGAAAGCAGTGCACGGGCTTGATTCACGAAAAGATCGGTTGGTTCCGTACTGCCTTGTTCTCGAGAAAACAGCTCTCGATAAATCTGATGTGCTGCTTTGTTAAAGCCAAAATCATGACGTAGCGCATCTAAAACTTCAGAACACAAGATGTTTGGCGTTTTGGTGCCTTGCCACCATACTGCAGCAAGGCGATCTAGTACCACGAGTAAACCGTCTACAGCGTTATCGTCACTGATATTCAGACATTCCTTGTGAATAGTGATGACATCAATAAAAGCTTCAGCATCTTCGTCTGGCTTTCCAGAAAACCTTGGCCGCATTTAGAAAAATTGGCAGCTGTACTTTGGTTCGAAGTATATTGTGGCGTATTCTGGAACATATCTCTCATACCAGCGAGTAATGTTTGTAATTGTTCATTCGTCAGAACAACAATCGAAGATTATAAGGCATCAACAGGAAAATCCAGCTTGGAGTGAGCTAAGTGATGGAAATGTAGTGTTGAGATACAGCAAAACAGGCGACTGTAATGTAGGAACCCTTCGAACAACCTTGGACGGACACACAGGAAACTGTAATGTGGGTACAAAGTGGAGGACAAACTTGGACACACAGGAAACTGTAATGTCGGTACAATATGGAGGACAAACTTGGACACAGGAAAATGTAAGGAAAAGTGCGGAATTAGGATGTGGTTTTTGTTTTTGTTTGTGTGAAATATTCCAGAAATTGTGAGAAAAATATCTGAATGTGGAAAAACTTACACAATTCAGCCAATTAATGCACATTTACACACTGATAATGTCTCGCGTACTATAGTTCATTGATCTACAGTCACAAAATTAGTCCAGAAAGTCATTGGGGTGGAGGTTCACTACAAAACCCCAGGCACACGTTGGGATGCCAAATATGTAGCGGGTATCGAAGGGAACTCCAACACTATGCACTACACATTGTTTTTTATTGTTTTTATTCAACAATTTAACTGGAAAAATACAAAGTCGGCAAAATAATAGCAAAATTACTTACAATGAACTTGATCAGGGAAACTAACTGACTGATTGATTGTTCGATTGATGACACTTGTCAGACATGGTAGTAGCTATGGCTACGGTAACGGTAGTGGCTATGCTATAGCGTCGCAAGTGTAGAAATTACAATAGGAGAATACGATTGGAATGGGCGGCATATGGTCAAATGCGCCACATATTACGGTCCAAGTTACCTTTGAAGCTGAAAACTAAAGTCTACAATGAACGTATTTTGCCAGTAGTTGCCTATGGAAGCGAAACATGGACGCTCCCAACGATAATCCTAAATAAGCTGCAATTACATCAGAGAGCAATCGAAAGGGGAATGATAGGTAATACACTGAGGGATCACAAGACTAACGAGTGGATAAGAAACACAACAAAGGTCGAAGACATTACACTGGGTCGGCCACCTAGCGAGAAACACAAGCAACAACTGGAGCGGAAAAATAACAAGATGAAGACCCTGGGGGAAACGAAGAAGCGTCAGCAGACCTCAAGAACGCTGGTACGATGACATAAAGCGAACAACAGGACTTAATTGGTACCACGTCGCACAGAATAGGCAAAATCTGAGAGAGGCCTATATCCAGAGGATAGTGAACGGTTAGGAAAAATAAGAGCCAATGATTGAAAATACGAGTTTCTCTATTGTCTTGTAAAGCAAAACCACATGTATTGCTCAAATTTGTCCCTGCCAGAGCACTCATCGTAAGAGTTTGTATTTCCGTTCAAGAACATGCTATTCTAAAATTCTACACTAAGGGAACGTTCCATTGCCGAAATATCATATCATCAAATCTTTTTTTTTTCAATATGGAGAAAAATAAAAAGAGACCACATGGATTTCAAGAAAATTATTTTCGAATTTTGTTTTACATATTCGTGAACTTGAGACTGTATTTTTAGAATTTACTAGGTAACAGAGTAGTTCAAGGATTATACTTTCAGAAAGTATAAATATGTTATTACCTTAGAATTTTATTACAGTAAATTGAAAGATTATCTTCTGTGATATTTGAAAACATATTTTCTGTTATATTATTTTGCGTTCTGTGTTGTTTCAATATACTTCCCAGAACGCTGCACAAAGTGCTTCCTTATTCATATACTTACAACCGATAATAAGCTTTTATTTTGTGCTTTGTGGATCAGTTGGTTTCACGTTTTGGATTTTTACTATTAACAAATAATACGGTTTATTGTTTCTATTCTTACCTTGAGCCTACAATTTTCACAACACGGTCCTGATGCGCACTTGGCTTCCGACTTTAGTTTACAAGTGAGCGGATCACAACAAGGGTCGACGCTGGGACAGCTCTCTATGCTTCCACAATCGCACTCTTCACCTTCGTCTACCATGTAATTACCGCAGGTTCGTCGGTCCTAAAATAACAATGGAGAGACCCTTTCAGTGTCCAAATAAGGTTCGAAAATTGAATGAGTTAGATTAATAACGTTCCCGAGGGATGGGCATTTTATAGCCTATAACTTTATTTAATCTAACAATAAATTGTTATGAAATAAAATATTTATATATATATGAATTTCTCAAATGATAAAATATGAACTTGAAATAAACTATCTAAGCTTTACGCCTAATATTAGTCAAATTGTAATGTTTTACTACCACTCGTAGTACTCATCTTGGTAATTTTTAAGACACCAATTTTCTCTTGTTCCTTATTATACCAAGTAGGCTCTGATCTAATTTTAAACCGATATAGTCATAATAATATCTGTATGTGAATATCGAAAATCAGGTCATGAATAAGTTAGACAGAGTAACAACTAAATACTTGTTAAAGTGAATTAAAAATAATGTAATAGCGAGTTTAGAAGTTAGTTTCATAACTAATTGCTGCAGCTGCAACTGATTGGTTAAAATCATTTAAATAACACCCCTTTCCCAAAATTATACAAAAAGCAGGGCCACACAAGTTTCGCGAAATGTGATTTGCCTTCATTATGAAACTTTAATAAAAATCTCGGCAACACTGCGCGTCCTCATGCAAATACGATGAGCATATTTTAAAGTTTTGGGAGCTGTGGAAAATTATTATAATACGCGCTCATTTCCCACAAAAAAAAGTGGTGGAAACGTGCGGCTTTTGAAACGGACGAATTGTTAGTAGGCGAAGTTTTATGGGTTCATATAAGTTTTATTTTTTACGCTGTCCCCCGTGCCGTGACTAATTTGAATTTTTACTAAAACGTGACTTTAGGAGATAAACTTTTTCTGCCCCAAAATATACAATATACCTTATTCACGTTAAGCGTTTATAAGAAACAAGCCCCGAGCCAAAAAGTTAGGCTCCCAAATTGGGTTGTTTGGAACTCTAATCATACCTTTTCCTACCTACCCGCGTTAAGATAATATTTTAGTTTTATCAGAATGGAACCAGTTGTAAAGGTGTAAAATATATTTTTGGTTTGTAGTAGCACTATTTTTCTCGAATTTACCTGTAGTTCATTGGGTTTATTCATTAAACATTGTCCTGACCCAGTCCTGAGCCTGTCAATGTAATCGGACATGCTACATTGACTAAATTTATAAGGCTGTACATTGTCTAAGCCTACTATTGACTTCGCCATTATGCAGCCGTGCCAGTCTTTACAAAAACACTCCTCGCGACCATCGTCATGACCCATTCCAATATTGTGACCTATCATATGGGCCATTGTACCTGTGAAACAATATACATTAAGTTTAGCATATAGTAACAATGGAGAATAATAGCATACCTGCTAACAAATGGGGTTCGTATGTATTTATATCTACACTTATTCCTACGGATTTGGTGGTGCATACGGTGGCGGGGACGGCAATGCCCGCCTCACCACCCTCAAATACCTCCCCCGTCAACAGTTGTGTCGTGTCCTTGTCGACGGAAAATAAATTTCTCGACGTGTAATCGTTGAAACTCGATAACGCGTGGCCGATGTCGAGATGACGATTGATTTGGGCCTTATCTCCACCTAGAAAACGAACATTCAATATAAAAGAAAATATATATTTGTAAGCTATTCTAGAACTTAATAACTAACTTATTTTAGTGCAGACGACAAAATCTGAAAAGGCAGACTTTGGGCTGGGCTAAAGATAATTGAACCACTCACACCATACGCGACTTTAATATTACCTCTTCACTTAATTTAAAAATAAATATAATTTTGAAGCAAGTGGTATCCAAACTTCAAATAATCAAAACTTATAATAACCTCTCAATAATGGACGCCCGCGGTGAATCCTAAAGTCTTCTGTACATAGAGGAGTCCGATGCTTATAGATGTACGGAAATAGTTTTTAAAAAAACAAATTTAAAATTTAATATGCGTATGTATATTTAGTATTAGGTAACGATGCTTTAATATACAAGATCAAACAAAGCTAAAATAATCATAAGTAAATATGTTCAATTTATTTTTGAAGAGGTCATTAAAAATGGGTGAAACCGTGATGTGGAAGTGTTAATACTGAGAAAATTGTAACGTAAAAGTAAAATCGTCCGCGAATATAGGAGTCCATATTATGGAGGTGTTCGAAAATAGAGGGTACTACTATACTTGTTTATGTAGATTTCTTTCACCAAGTACATAAAATTCGCGTTTTTCTGATGAATAAACCTAAATTCAATTTGACAAACACCAAAAACGCCAGCATACTACCTACGTTAATTGGATTTATGTTTTAGTAGAACATTAAAACAAATTCGTAAAAATTACCTACAAACAAAGTTGGTGATAAACTTACATGGGTTTTGAAAGGTGCAATTATAATTCAACGCTCATGTAAGCCATAAATAAATATTAAAAGTGATAAAAAACGTTTGTGGCTAGACGATTATTTTTGAACAAGAAAGGAAACTGGCAAATGTGGTGCGTGATTTAAAAAAATTGAACAACACAAGTATAAATTCTTGAAATATACCAGAATATCACAAATCCAGACGATCGATTTTCTTCCATATTTTTTTGCCCGAGTATGGTAACGTGTTCTTTTCGCAAATGATCATTAATAAGTTATCGAATACAATTTCATAGCTATGCAGAACATAACAAAATAAGTTCAATTTTTTTAATTATTCCCACAATCCACTGTTTCTAAGATCAAAAAAAGACAATTTTTAAAAAAAAATGTGTGTCATAACCCAGCAAATGCTGGAATAAAAGATGGAGTTTTGTAAGGATTTATGTATATGATTTCATTTTTCTATAATTGGTGGGGGTGGGGCAAGGCTGAAGGTGGTAGAAATTTTACAAAAATAAACTTTCCAGATCCGCACTGAAAAATCGAGCCTTTAGTGATTTTGTGGTTGGCAGAGTGGATTTCTAGAAAATAAAAACCATAGTCGATTGACGACCTGGCAGACGAATACGATAATCAGAAAACATAACGAAATCGTCTGGTTTCGCAAGAACAGAGAGTTATTTATGTGTTCAATGACTTCCATGGCCAGCAAAAAAAAATCTTGCGGTTTATAAGCGAGATTAGTGAGCTAATGGAAACTAATCATATAACAAAGAAAAATATTTGACTCAATTACCTATGTAAAACAGAAGCCACGAGACTGTTTTAAACACGCCAGAAATAATGACCAAAGATAATGTTGAAATTTATGAGTACACCTACAGCTACCCTGCTACTAAAACCAAATGTATAGCAACATCAAAAACTCTTGTCAGATGTAAGCTCAGGATTGACTGAAAAATTCTCCACAACAGGATATCTCAAGCTATAGCGATGTTGAGACTGAGGTAAAAGGACAAGCGACAAGGGCAGCACGAGTCTCAGGGTACCTAAAACACACAATATGGCGAAATCAAAAAATCAGAATTGAAACCAGGCTAGGATCTATCAGACGTGTTTTGACATATTGTGCAAAAACTACTTCACAGGATTGCCAAAAAATACTGTTGGGTAGAGAGCGAAACGAAACTATGACAATAATTTGCCAAGTAGAAGACGTCAACTATTGTGTGTTGAGAAGAAAGATGGAATGGAATGCGCACATTGGCAGAATAAATACGGAGAGAATAGTAAGTATAGCACGCGACAAATGCTCAACACGTCGCAGGAGTAAAAGTCGACCCCGGAAGCGATGGAGCGACATCCTAAGTGCCTAGAAGGCAAGAATTGCCGTTTCTCTTCCAAATGCTGCTTTGGAAATTCTGGCCCAAATGAGTCATGGATGGTAGTGGAACTTTTCCTGCTAGCTTGAAGTGGGATTTTCATAGGAGTGTGGTGACTTCAGGATTTTTAAAGCCCATTATAGACAGTCGCCATATATTTTACCATAGTATACGTGCTCTGCCAAAGAGCGTTGCTTCCAGCTGTTATCGGGTTAGAGTGGCCATTCTCAGAATTGATGTTGTGAAAACAATGTATCACCCTCTTGTTGAGGCACACTTAGATTATGAAATCATGTTTTGGGGCAACACAAGACGAAAAATGAACAGGGGCTATTGTTGGAAACAAGATTTCAACAATAGATTTAAACTTTCCCGGTGTGTGTCTACGCAGGAAGTGCGCCTGCGTGTCGTACATTCTTCGTGCATCGGCCTGTTAAATGTTCGATTAAGTGACTTCCGAACGGGCGGACAGTGTCGAATCGCACCTCGCACCGAACGCAACAGAAACACACCAGGGGGGCTTTATTTCAAATTGATGCAACTTTGCGTATACGCAAATGACGTTATTTGCGATTGAAAACTGGTGCACGGCTTATTTGAAATGCACTGCGAGCGATATGACTTTGCACCACTCGCAACTTTTGCGCATGGGGGTGTTCCGATCGCAAATTTAGCTGGCACGCGCAAGTTGTGTTGTCAATTTGTCAATTTATTTCGATTTATTTTAATTTTGATGGTTCACTTCAAATAAGTTCAAATATTGTGGTGATTTTTATATAAATATGAAATTCAATACCGTTATTATTATTAACAATGTGCTGGCTCGTTTTCAACTAGCGAAGTCTTTCAACGAAAATCTCGCAGTACGGCCGCGATTTTATGCCTTTGTCATAAGTGACCGGGCTTTCGCAAAAAAAAAAAATTGTCTAAATAAAGCTACTTTTGAAGACTTATATGATGCTATAGAGAGCTATTTTGTGTCACCAAGAAGAGCGTCTGCCACCGAGCACCGTATTTAATACCGCTAAAGTTTCTTGCCATATTTTTTTAGTTGTGTATGCGAACAAATTGATGCAACTTTACGTGCACGCAAATATTTGCGATCGATTTCAAATAAAGCCCCCCAGATAAAACTGGCCGGGTCCTATATGTTCATATAGTTCAATAAAAAACGGGAAATTGTATATCATAAGTAAATTGTTTATCGTGTAAATAAATGTAAATGGAAAACAGTACAATCCACTTATTATTAAAAAAATCAACAGCTATTGCCTAATATGGAGTAGCAAGAAGAAGCAGAAGGAAGTTTTGTGAGGACCGGATCCTTGTTGCTATAGACGTGATCGTGATGACCGCCAGGTTTCGCTTACCTAAGTTAAATTGCAATTTTCATGTCCGACCGATCAGCAAATTAATCTGTCTCGTTTAACATACAGAAAATCGAATGTATATTTTAAAAATTTGTCGATATTCCTAGTAAGGTCGGAAGGAGTAGAAAAAATGCTAGTTGGACCAAAATAGGGCGTGGCACCCAAGAAAAAAAAACCGCGACGCTATCTACCAAACAGTAGTCCTTGTTTGCCCCCCCCCCCCCCCCCCCCCTATTTTAAGAACCTAGATCCGCCACTGGTCCGACCTTAATAAAACTATAGGTACCTATCTACTTTAGAAAATTTCCGATATAAATGGACCTTCAGCCAACTCGACTGAAGCGCTAATCAAATTATTACTTCGAAAGTGCAAAACCCAAAATAACGATCCTATTTGAAGAAAGAATTATAATAAAATTTGCTTAGCTGTCAGAATACGATTTCAAAAACGATACATTCAAAGAAAGAGTTGATAATCCCATACTATAAATCAATTATATTCCGAAAACCAGGAAGTTTCCGAACAATTTTATGGATAAATTTATATAACATTTGCCTTCGGCTCAAAAATTATTGAATGCATTCGGTAAAAATTATACTTCTGATACTTATAAAAAGCTACAACGAACAAAAAATTATCATAGAATGAGAATGGAACTAGCATAAAGTCAAAATACTACTAACCAAATCCTGAAAACTCAATGCAGACTTTTATTAAACAGTGCGGCATTTGTCAAATAAGTGAAGACGAATGGCGTTCAGTTAAAATGAAAGGGACGCCAACAAGTTGAAAACCCTTCGAAATACTACATGTATAGTGAACGCAAAGCAATTTGCAGATGGAAGTACGTGACGGATTTATGTGCAGAGAACTCAAGAATTGACCATTCCAGTCCAGTATCACCTCACGCTGGAGGGCAACCAATCATTCTGTTGTTAAATTTAAAGCTTTTTAGCTGAATGACGTTGCCGTTCATTATTTGAGAAAATACAAAATTATTTTCTTGCTCAATTTTCAATCAACCTCGGATGATATTATTTTAGCGTTATTGAACACGTTTTAGCGCAGAAAGCTTTAAAGTTGACAACAAAATGTTCGGTTATCCTCCAACGTGAGCTGGCTCAATTTTTGAGTTTTGTGCGTATCAGAATCAGTTACGTAATTTCATCACAATCTGACAACGACGTCGCCATCCACAGCTGACTCAAAACTTAGACCTACATCAAAAATGGTTTTGCAGTTAATATGGACACCTACTTACTGGAGAATACGATTCTTATTATAACCCATAGCTCAAAATATCCCCAAACCTACTATCTTGAATGAATACCTCACCCGAAAGGATTAAAAAGAAGTTAACGTTATTGGGTCAGTAATTGAAACTATCACAGAAAATTTGGTAGAATCAGAAGGTGAATATTAAGACGTGCTAATTGAAAATCTACATGGCAATCAAAGGGAATTAGTAAATAGTG